CTGGCCCGCCACAGGGGCCAGGACCTACACCTCCTCCTCTCTGCTGTGGTGGTGGGGGGCACATCTAAGTGCTGTGATCTTTTGGGGAGCCCTTGGACTCCCTATGCAACTGGAAGCCTCTGTAGGAGGCTGCAAACTGGAGCGGGAGCCCTCCCCAGCCTGGGGCTCCCTTGGGGAGCGGGGAGGCTGCAGCAGGCAGAACTGGTGCCTTGCTCCTGCCTGCTCCTCTGCCCAAGAGCACCTCCCAGCTCTGGCTGAGCCCTCCCTGGCTCCAGCCCCACCTCAGCTCAGTTTGGTTTTGTTCTGGGGTCTAACTCTTCTCTCTTCCTTTAAATATGTAAAACACTAATTCCTTTTTTAATTCCAAATGAACCAAAAAAAAAAAAAGCTTCCCTTTTCTTGCCTCCCCTGCCCCGGCTCTCCTGGGCCCCCCCTTGCCCTGGTGGGGAGTGGGGCTAGGGAGGAGGGGACCGGGGAGCAAGAAGCCATTCCTTGTCTGAATCCTGTGCACACTCTTGTAACGCTTTTAAAACAGAATGATTTTTTTATATAAATAAAGTTTTTAAAGTGTGTCTATGTGCCTTCCACCTCAGGCTGCCACTTCGGCGATGTGAGCTCTGCAGTGGGACCTGCAGTGTCTTTTCGAGGGGCAGGGCTGTGCTCTCGAGTGTTGCTCTGCTGCGTGTGGCTCTGAAAGATGCCACTTTGTGATGGATGTTTTCTTGGGCTGGAGCAACGGTTCCTCATCTTTGCAGCAAAAGGTTGGAGGAAAAATAAAAAGCCACCAGCGAGTGGAGCAAAGGCAGGTGTTTTATTGCTTCAGGTGGAGGGGACAAGGCTCAGGACATGTGGCATTAGCAGGGACAATGCCAGGAACGTCTTGGGGGTGGGGGACAAGGAGTGATGCCTGGGATGTCTGGCTTGGCAGGGACAATGCTGGGGACATTTGGCTGGGCAGGCAGGACCAATGCTGGGGACGGTGATGGGTGGGACAATACAAGGGATGTTTGGCACAGCAGGGATGATGCCTGGCCTGGCCGGGAATATGCCAGGGACGTGCAGGCGAGAAGGGTGGCTGTGTGCCAGAGGAGTCGTGGCCAGGAGTCAGAGGAAGAGCTTGTCGTGGCAGGCCTGGCAGTACATCTTGTTGCCGTGTTCGCGGAAGGTGCCTTTCTGCAGCTGGCCCAGGCAGTAGGCACAGATGAAGTGCTCGGGGTGGTACTTGCGCCCTGCGGCTGTGATGCAGCGGCCAGCCACGGGGCGGCGGCGGCCGTCGCCGGGGGAGCCGCCCCCCCGGCCGCTGATGGAAGTGCAGCTCACAGTAGGGCCGACCCTCCAGCTCGAAGAAGGAGCCACTGGCGAAGCTGCTCATGCACTCCTGGGGGGAAGAAGATGGGGAAAGCTGGCACAGCCTCAGGGACACGCTCCGTGTCCCCATCAGCCTGCTACCCACTCACCGCACACACGAAGCACTCGGAGTGCCAGACGCCCTGCAGGGCTGACAGGTAATTGTCTGTCACAGGGCGCTCGCAGCCCTGGCATTTCGGGGCGAACATGGCCAGGAAGTAAGTCCTGGTGGCAGTAGGGCTTCCCGCTCCGCTCGTGGAAACCTGCAGGGAGGGTGTCAGGATGGGCGGGCACCCACCTGGGGGGAAGCTCGCAGTGGGGGGCACTGGGGCATGGCCATAGGGGTGCCCAGGATAGGAGGCAGGCAAGGGAAAGACCATGGGGGGTGTCAGATGGGGCAGCTGGGTGCAAGGGCTGGGCTATGGAGGGGAAAGGCCTGGAGTCGGGGTAGGACCCCCACACCTGTCCCCTGGGACGTACCATCATCTCCAAACACCTTCCCGCAATGGGCACAGAAGAAGTGCTCAGGGTGCCACGTCTGGTCCAGGGCCGTGAGGACTTTCTGTGGGAAGAGGCAAGGTGAGGTGGACGGTGGCGGTGGGGGGGGGGGGTGG